TAGAGAGAGAGAGAGAGAGAGAGAGAGGTTTTAGCATTGGATTAAGGGTTCTCAAATCTCCAAACTTTTCTCAAAGAGACTGAGAAAGACAACGCCTTATATTGGACAAGGGAAAAGTTTATATAAGGTTGCAACGTTAAAATGTAGAATTATAGGTGCACTTCAAAAATCCATCAAAGAATGTTGTTTCAGTGTTGAAAAACCCCTTTTAATTGATCATCTCGACATCATGATGTATGAATGTAAATAAAAAAAATATTCTGAGTTTCAAACATAGTGTATCTTGTAACACATTATCTAGACTGCCTATTTTCAAGATTTTCATATGTTTTTAGCTTTTTTTTATTTTAACCATTTTTGGATTTTAAAATTTTATGATTAGATATGAAAATAGACTTTCAAATAATCCTAAGAATATTTTACATCACCATTACATGTTATAATAAAATTTGGAGGTGCGCCTTGGATTGGCCTTAATTGGATTGTTGAAGGTTGCAACTTTATAGAAACTACGCCCTTTGGACCGTCCTCATATTTTTATGTAAACGATATCCAATGTTTTTTTTTTATGATATCCAATGGTCATGGACTTGTCCGAGTAACTCGGACTCAGTACCTTGTGGAGTAGAGTAGTACTTTATAAATTCAGTAAAATAAAAAATAAAAATAAAATGATTTCATAAAATATTTTTTAGTGAATAAACAGGTTTTTATATAAATTTGTTGATCTTGATGCTATTTATGAACTCCTTTTACCATTTCTTTTTTTTTTTTGTGTTATTTTCAGCTACAAATAAAATTTTGGTTTTTTTAATATTTTCCACCATTTTTAAAAAACGAAAGTTCTTGGGCAAAGAGAGATAGAAAGGGAGAAAGATTGTAACCTTGGAGAAATCAAAGAAAGCCCTCACGCAGTAAAGGAAAAATCAAGCCGTTCAAATTCTAACCGCCTAGTTAAACCCGTTAGATCGGAACTGGCCATTGGCTGGTTTTGGTTTCAGCCAGTTTTGGTGGACCTGCTGGGTATTTAAAAAAATCAAATAAAAATTATATAAAATCTCAAAAAAAAAGGATTTTGTTGTAATGCATTTTTTAATTTTCTTTCATTATTTTGGTAAAGATTAGAAATTGCTTTGGTCAATAATACTTGTTTTTACATTTTCCATTTTTTTAAAAAAATTCAAAAATACCCTAGGAACAAATCAATTCTTTAATTTCTATTTTTTCATTAGTTTTCAATTTCATTTAGATGTTTTTTGTTTAATCATGTTTTAAAAAATAATTTTCACATTTTATTTTATTTTTTATTTTTTTTAAACAAGACTTCTTGGGACCTACCCAGTAACCGCTTCTGTCTCACACGTCCCTCCGTTTTCGTGAGAAATTAGAGCCCTCGTAGTTTTCCAGGGGAAAAGCATGAAAATGTGGAGTATACATCGGTCAACGTTTCCACATTTTTCTCCATTTCTATACAAAAGAAAAAGCTCTACATTTCCACATTTTTCTCCACTTCTATACAATGGAAAAAGTAACCAAAGAGAACTTTGTGGACGCTATATTTTCATGTTTCGAAAAGTTAGCGCAATGCCACAAATATAAAAAGATTGGAAAAATTTTGTATAGAATTTTAATTCTTTGTATTATTTTCTGGTAGATTTTTATTTCGTTTTTTTTCAAGCGGCACAAGAAAACCTTTAAAGATTTCAACATACCCCATCGTCTCTTATTTTCCTCTTTTATTGACTTTTGGTCATAAAAATTAGCCCCAACAAATATTTTTATATTATTTTAACCCAAAAACTTTTTTAATGAGTGGAAAGAAAAAAGATGGTTAAAAAAGTTTTTGAGATGAAATGATATAAAAAAATTTGTTGGAGCTAATTTTTATAATCAAAAGTCAATAAAAGAGAGAGATAAGAGATGAAGAGATAAAGTGAAATTCTTAGAGATTTTCTTATGCCGCTTGAAAAAAAAACGGAAAGAGGATCTACTATGAAATAATAAAAAAATTGAGGTTCTCTACAAAATTTTTCCTAGATTTTTATTTCTACAACAAAAAAGGGTGGGTCAAACGTGGCGTAAATCAGTAGATAATCCACCGCCGATTCTTTTCAAGACCTTTTCTCCTTACATAATTTGAGTGTATTTTTCCGTAAGGTAAAAGATGAGGATAATTTGGGCGTTTTTCTTGAAAGAAGTAAAGAAAAATAAAATGGATGAGGTTTTTATAAGGCCTACGCTCTATAAAAACAAAATAAACCTGCACCTCAAATCTTCCATTGGAAAGCACTTTTGGCAGCGAAGATTTTCACAATGACTCTAAAATCAATTTTCAAGACCGACAATGAAATTCAAAACTAAAAAAATGGTATAAATCTTGCGGATTCATAAACACTTATTTTTAGGGCGAAATAGATGATCTAGATAATTTGTTATAATATAGACTATTTTTAGAGCTTGAAATCCTATTTTGTTTTCATATCCATAATGTTCTAGCTAAGATGATTTGATATATAAGTTTTCTAATGCTTGAATTGCAATTTTTCATGAGTTATAAGGTGAGGATTTACTTATTTTGATAGAGTTGCAACTCTATCAAACCATTTTCCAAACAAAGATAGGAATACCAACAAAGTACTTTGGGCAAATTTCAAGACCCCCTTTTCCAATAAAATGGACAACAAAGAAGAAGGAAAAAAGCAGTAGATTTTAAGGGATTCATATGATTGCCCTTATTTTGGGGAAAAAAAAAAGGGTGAAATGATTCATAAAGGCTTTGCTAAACTCCCCAATCCAACAAAACAAATTGAGATACGTTTGTTTCTCAACGGCACGTATCTCCCAATATATTTTTGAGATAAAATT